AGGAATGAAGTTACGACTCCTCCGTAGCTCAAGAATTAGGACTTAATGGGGTGGGAAACTATTATGTTTTGGGGATTTAATATTTTCAACATATATACTCAAACCGGAAAAGAAAAAAGGCAGAAAGATTTTCATAAATCCAAATCTACAAATTTCCTTTCTCAACATCAACCCTGCCCAAAATATGATGCATCCCTTGCTTTTTTATAACGATGCCCCCCACAGGGACCAAGAGGGATAGATAGATAGATATACAGGTGGATAGATGGATAAAGAGAGGGGTTATCTGAGATCTAGAAAGTTTTAAGACAGTTCAAACCGTTGATCAAATTCTAGAATCAAACTTTTTAACAACCTCTGGAGTCTTAGAGAAGCTAAATGCATAGTTTAATGGAAGTTGGATAGACGGAGTAGTGGAGGTTGGATAGAAGGAGTAGTGGAGGCTGAATAGTAGGAGTAGTGGAGGTTGGATATAAGGAGTAGTGGAGGTTGGATAGAAGGAGTAGTGGAGGCTGGATAGAAGGAGTATTGGAGGCTGGATAGAAGGAGTAGTGGAGGTTGGATAGAAGGAGTAGTAGAGGCTGGATAGAAGGAGTAGTGGAGGCTAGATAGAAGGAGTAGGGGAGGCTGGATAGAAGGAGTAGTGGAGGCTAGAAAGAAGGAGTAGTAGAGGCTGGATAGAAGGAGTAGTGGAGGCCGGAGAGAAGAAAGATAGAAAGGGAGGAGAAGGAAAAACAAAGAAAAAGGAAAGGGGTGAGAAGAAATAACAAGGATTATGGAAATAAAAGAGAAGAAAAAACAAGGAGACTGGAAAGGGAAGGAAAGGAAGATCAAGGAAAAGGATGGAGAAGGAAGATCTAGGATTATGGAAAGGGGAGGGAAGGAAGAACAAGGATTATGGAAAGAAAAGCGAAGGAAGATCAAGGATTATGGAAAGAAAAGAGAAGGAAAAACAAGGAAATTTGGAAAGGGAAGGAAGGAAGATCAAGGAAAATGGAGGATAAGGGTGGAGAAGGGACAACAACGATAATGGAAAGGGAAGGAAAGGGAGATCAAGAAAAATAGAAGGATAATAGAAAAGGAAGAGAAGGGAGGAGAACGACTAACAAGGATTATTGAAAGAAAGGAGAATAAAGATCAAGGATTATGGAAAAGGAGGAGAAGGAAGAACGAGGATAATAGAAAGGGAGGAGAAGGAAGAACGAGGATAATGGAAAGGGAGGAGAAGAAGGTTGAAATATATTCTAAGAGATCCACTCTCCGCCCACATAT